AAAATAAAAATAAATAAATACTGCCAAAATCGAAGCAGGTTGTGATGGCTAGTGCTCAGCTGCACTGTGCTCCAGGCTGAAGCTGAGCTGATGTGGGGTGCAGTTTTCCTGTTGTCTGTTCATTGCCACCTATTTGATTACTTTCAGGGTTTTTTTCTTTATTTTTGCTGAGGCTGCCAACAAAAGCGTTGCCATCGCCGACATTTTGAAGCAGCTCATGCAATCATCAGAGCAAGATGTACTTTCATAGAAATCAGGGCAAAGGAGCACAAGAGAGGATATAATCATTTTGTTCCATCTCCGCTATGAAAAACCAACAACAGGAGCACATAAACAAGCTAATCCCCAGTGCATCCCGTTATTAGCAGATTTAGCTACAGACATTAAAAAGGAGCAGGTAATGGAACGTAAGGGGAGGCTGTGGGAGCAAAATGTTGATGACGATGTTTATTGTGAAATCAGATGATTATTGTTCAGGATACTTGCACACGGATTCATGCAGAAAAAAGTCATTCTGTGGTTTTTGGCAAACATGATACTCCTACAGGTTTATGGACTGCTTATATTGAAGCATGTATTTATATTTATACAGATTGTAAGCCTTAGAAGGTCTGTGATTTACTGTGATCATCTGTCAATTAAGACCCCTCTTCAGGGCCTTTTTCCTGCCCAAATATCTAAACCAGGGCTGCTTTCACACAGCCCAGAAGTTTGCATTTATTAGCTCTCTATCATGAGAAGAGACATGAAGACACTTTTCTGGCATGAATGTTTTCACCACACAACTACACAGCCTAGTTCTGAGTAAGGGAAGGGCAATGACAGAGATCTACACTTGCATGCTCAAATTCCTATGTGCTAGGGCCACTGGCACAACCACGTTGCCTGCCAGCAGAAAACATGCATTTGACAGCTTTATCCCTACTTTGTCCCTAGTCTAAAAGAAACTTTGGATGTTTTCTTATCCTCTTCATCCCTACAACCCACTCTGACCTCTGGCAAGTCTCTTGAGATGAGTGGTGCTCAGAGATGGACCTGCAGGTGAAACACACCATGCTGTGAAAGGTGAGCCCAGCTACAGCTGCTGCTGCTTGGCAAGCATAAATACATACAGGTTTTGGTCGCACTGTAGTTAAGGCAGCAATGAAAATTAAGAATTTGACCTACGCTTTGTGCTTAAGAATAAGATACTTGTAGTTTTGGCCCTGATGCCATTTTGAGAATTTGTTCGGCCTTCAGTGTCGTGTTCTGTGGGGACTGGGTCGGGTCTCAAAGCTGTGGGACCATCACACTGACCATGTTCTGATGGAGACACTCTCTGACCTTCAGCCCCAGACATCTCTCAAACGGAAATATCAAGTGTGACATAAATATTGACTAGAGGATGATGGAGTAGAAATCAACTATGGCAGAGGAAATACATCACTCCAAGTACTGCTATTTATTTTTAAATTTACTTGGTGCTCTTGCTTGTGACCTGCCAAGAGTAGGACTGATGTCTTAATAAGAGGCTTAAGAGGCATTTTCACCTCCACATCAGTGATGCCTCAGGCATTGTGTGGTTCTGCAGGGTCATTCTCCAGGGGTAAAGTGCTTCCTCAGGCTGATTAAGGGTTGCACAGTACTTTTGAAGAGGTAAGAATAATTTCATTTATCAATACATGACACAGTGATCGTTCTAAGCAGAGTCACGTGCAAAAATAAAGCTTCAAGTGTTTTTCATTTGATGGATTACCTGAAAAAAAAAATAATAAAAAAAATCAACAAACAAACTGTTTTTTTTCCTGCTGAATGTCAGACACCTTTTCTGACACATGCTCGGAAGTAAGCCAGCAGCATATCCAGAGTTTACACCTGTGGATAACTCTTTACAAAGGCAATAATACCAACAATACAGAAGTTCTTGCCAACAGAAATGCTTTATCTCATATCAGACCTATTTCTGCTTTCAGAGTATTTGAGAAGTCCTTGGGAATTTTCCCACTGTTTTTAATCACAGCATAAAAAGCACAGTAAACAAAAACTAAAGCAAGCAAGCAACATTAGGCATAAACAATGTACAAGCAAAGAAGAACCACACTGCTGGAATAAGTTCCATAGTCCTTTCATCATTAGAAACATGAACATATGGCCTCAAGTTGCGCTTGGGAAGGTTTGCATTGGATATCAGGAAAAACTTCTTTACAGAAAGGGTGGTTAAGCACTGGAATAGGCTCCCCAGGGAGGTGGTTGAGTCACCATCCCTGGATGTGTTTAAAAACTCTTTGGATGTGGTGCTCAGAGACATGATTCAACAGAGGGTTGTTAGGTAGTATGGTTAGGTTGTGGTTGGACTTGATGATCTTTAAGATCTTTTCCAACCTGAGCAATTCTATGATTCTATATTTAATGGCTTGCATAGTTGGGTGCCATTCACAAGACAGTGCCTCAAGTACTGCATGTTCTGTAAAATAAACACATTCTGTATCATCAGAAAACATGTGAACACATTGACTCAACTCACCTTCGTTAGCCCTGCTACCTCACTCGGTATATCTCCTTTTCAAGCACTCCATACACTCAAAGCCAGAACCAAAGCCCATGTGGAAATTATTGCAAATGTTTTTGGCTTTTAAAGCCAATTTTGTTACAGTCCTTTAACAAGCGCCCAGAGGGGCTGTGCTACCTGCATCCATGGATACTGAAAGCTTCCCAGGTGCGGCAGGGCCTGGCCAAGGCCGGCAGCAGGGCTTCACCTTGGGCTCAGAAGTGAAGCAACAGCATCCTCTTTCCTCAAAGAGAAATGAAACCCAAGCATCTTTACACGCTCAGGATGAAAAGGTCACACTGCTTCATCCACACGGCATTCTCATGTCAGAGGTAAACAGCCGCAGAATTTCAAGCAGCATACAGATCTGTTTTGAGTGGTGAGCTGTTAAGCCGTCTCCCCATATGTCTCACCTGAGCTTTTCCTTGTCATCTTGCAGAGTTAATCAGTTAAACTCTAACAAGCCCATATATATTCCCTTGCATTTCTCCCTCACATTTTGCACAAAACGGTGACCACAGGTAGGGCAGGAGTACAAACTCTCATCCTCCTGGAGCTCTTGTCAGTGGTATTTGTTGAGGTCGTGGGTTAACATACTGCATAATTCAGTCAGCTGGCACAGCTTATCCAGGAGTATGTGTGATAAGCTGAAAGGAGCTATACTTTTACACAGAAATTAGGAGCCTCCTCAGGGTACATATTCAGTTCTGCTCACGTCCCTCTTGTCACTCCTGCCTCCCTCAGACAACAGTCTGGATGGCACTAGGGAAAACCATCCAGCAGACATGAAAGAGGTTATCCTCAGGCATGAGGGCCTGGCAGGGAGCGGGACTGGGCACTGGCCAGTTAAGAGAGCAGCCCAAGGGCTTCTGGTCACCTCAGTTTCCTTCCTCTGTAACATATGGATGAGGATGAATAGCTGCCTGTTACAGCCCCCAGATAAAGGATCCCAACCACACTTTAACAAGTCTTTAGTTTTTTTCTTATTTCTTTTATTTTAAAGTGCTGCAATATAACCAGGAAACAAAGCACAAACAGAAAGTTTGAGTTATTAATGTCAAGCATTTTTTTTATCTAAGAGAGATTTACTTTTCCTCAGAATATCACTCAGTCTTGGAAACTGTTAAAGCAGAGATCTGAAACATAGCCTCCAGCCTCCCAAACCAACATGTGTATCTTCAATGATTAATTCAGAGTGAATATTTATCCAACTCTCCTTCAAGTAGCATGGGACACATTGGTCGTATCCTTGTTCACTGGTCTCCTCCTGGTTCTTTAAATTCATTCACCGACAGCTCTGTTGCAGAGGCTGGGAATTATTGCACAGCCTTGCTCTCCTCATGTCCATACACAAAGCATCGGGACCCCACTGAAACTCAGCTATCGGGATGTTGATTAATAACCAGTGATGGAAGGAAGTCACAGAGCTCAGCCCCCACCCTGTGCCTGCACTCGGCATGTACAGGCTGGTTCTGGTAGGAGCCGACGTGGCAGCAGCTGATCCTCCCACCAGCCCTGCTGTGACAAACCTTCGTCTCCCTGCTCAGCACCACTGTGGTGCCACCCTCACAGCCAGCTGTGCCTACTGCATCTCAGCTCGCTGGTCGCACTGCCTTGGGATCACTTACAGCTCTCAAGAGCACTGTGATGTAATGGGGCACATATGCAGCCACGCTGCAGGGCACAGACTTTCTGAATGCTCTTGCTGCCTTCTTCTTGCCCTGATTTCCCAAAGCTTGGCACACCCAACCCTGCAACTTTTCCATACATTTGGGTGGCCTCCGCCGGCAGCAGGTCTGCTAGGGGTTAGGTGAACAAACACAATGTTGTCAATAGGGCACAGCTAAGCAAGAAGGGCTTACAACTTCTCACAGTTGAAAACGTCCAGGCTTGCGACAGCATCCCGAGCACCTGGCTGTGCACGAGATAGTCCCGGGGGCTGCACAGCATCCTTGCAGACGCGAACCCCGGGGACGGGATGGGGACCTGCCGGCGAGCGGCTGCAGGACTCGCTTTAGGCCTCGTTCCACGCCCACACCTCTTTTTCACAGCGAAGCCTTTCTCCAGAAAAATCACCTCAGCGTGTTTAGGGAGGGGACGGAGGCGCTTAGCCTGCAGGTAACAGTCCGTCCGTCCGCCCGCCCGCCCGTCCCCGCCCCCGGCCCCTGCGCGCCGCCGCAGGCAGCAGAGCGGCCCCGCCCGCCGCGCACCTGCCGCGGGCCGCCCCCGCCGCGGGAGGCGGGCGGGAGGAGGGTGGGGGCGGCCCGTGCCCGGCGTGCGCCCGGAGCCCGCGGGCGCCGCAGGAGGAGCAGGAAGCGCCCGGGCGCATCCCGCCGCGCTGTCACATGACTCAGCAGCCGCCGCCGGGCTGAGTTCAGCCGGCGCCGCGCCGGGAGGGGGGGGGGGGACCTGCCGCTGCCGCAATGAGCCCGCGGCCCCGCGCACGCTGAGCCCGCGCGCCCCGGCCCGGCCCGGCCCCCGTTGCGGAAGCTCGGCGGGGCCGCCGCCGGTCCGCCGCTCCCCGCGCTGCGCGGCGGCGGTACTATGCTCACGCGGGTGAAGTCCGCCGTGGCCAATTTCATGGGCGGCATCATGGCTGGCAGCGCGGGCGCCGAGCACGGCGGCGGCGCGGACCTGCCGCTGCGCTTCCCCTACGGGAGACCCGAGTTCCTGGGACTGTCCCCGGACGAGGTCGAGTGCTCCGCCGACCACATCGCCCGCCCCATCCTCATCCTCAGCAAGGAGACGCGGCGCCTGCCCTGGACAACGGGCTACGCGGAGTGAGTACTGCCGCGGGCAGGTGGAGCCCTTCCCTTCGGCCCTTCCTCCGCCTCCGCAGCCCCGCGGCTCGGCGTCCCGCTCGGCGCCTATCGGCCGTGCCCTGGCGGAGCCGTCCCGGGCCTGCGGGGCGGAGGGAGCTCCCGCGGTGCCGTGCGGAGGTCTCGGCCGCGGCTCCGTACCTGGGCGTGTGGGAGACGCGGAGCGGATGGGAGTGACGGCTGCGGGAGGGCTGGGGGTGGCGACTTTTGGTACCGGGGCTGCGGCGGAGATGGGGAGCCGCCGGGAGCGACTGCGCTCGCTTGTGGCTCGGGGACAGAAATCCGTTGGTGGCGAACCTCGGCTCGGTGCGTGCGTAACTGCTTCCCCCTGCCCGTGAGCGCGGGCGGGCTGGGGGCACCTTCGCGAGCCTCGACCGCGTTGGTCGGGACCAGGTAGTAGTCCTAAACACGAACAGCCTCGGACTCAGGGCAGCGTTTGGCCGTGGCTCCTTAGCCCCTGGCAGCGGAGCAGCTGCAGGGCAGCACACGTCCTTGCACCTGACTCCCCCCACCCTCCCGCCCCCCCCGATGCTGGGAGCAGGTCTGAGGATGCGGCTTCTCTCTGCTGCTGTCTCCAAGTCTTGGCCGTTCCTGGCCTTCCGTGTCACTCCAGCTGGCATCGTACCGAAGTTCACTGGCTCAGCTCGTCCAAGCTGGTCTGTGTGGGCACCGTCTCTTTGGGCGTATGTGAATTCTTAACAAAGCTCCTGCAAAAACTGCAGTGAGGTGCTGATGAGTGATTGCTAGCCTTATTTGAAAGGTTCGTATGAGTTGCTGCATTACTGGGGATACTCAAATAAGAGGGGAGACTTACAGAAGTTCAAATCAGACTGTTCTCCTCAGATCATTAGAACTGAATATGTTACTGAGCAAATTCCCTAGGAACTCTAAGTTTAAATGTTTAAAAGTAAGCTCTAATTGTTCTGCTGCTATAATTGAGCCTCAAATGCAGTTCTTTACCAAAGCAATAAGTGCTGCTATTCTTAGCTTGTGTGTGGAGCGGTGGTTCTTGGTGGGTGGCAGTGGCTGTGGGCCCAGGTGTGTGCAGCTCTACTGCCTGCACCCTGGGCAGTCCATGAGGGTGCCAGGACTGTTCTCATACAGATGTTCTGCTGAGCTCTGAGCAATTGAGTGAACTGGGAGCTGTAACTAAGTTACTGGCCTCCATTCCAATTGCTATCTGTGTGAAAAGAGATCAGCCTTTGCTTTTATCACCTGGTTGTTTCCCTTTTCTTGACTCATCCTCTCCTGTACAGCCCTGGTTGCAGTAACTGACTTCAGCATTGACTTCTTTGCTATCAAAAGTGCTGTCAGGCTGTTCCCAGTCACATCCGTCTGCTCCCCAATGTGGGCTTTGGTTACAACCAGAAGATGTCAAAGCGCTCATGCCGCTGGAGTGAGGAAGGAAGCAGTACTGCCAACATTACGTTGCCAGCCAAAGTCTGTGCCACAGACATAGCATGCAAAGAATAAAAAGGAGATAGGGGCAAAATTGGGTTTTGCCAAATTTGACATTTTTTTCTCCCCTCCTCTTGAGCTGTTCCCAGGCTATCTGAAAATAATTGCAGGAGTTACTTGGAGGTATATTTTCTAAGTATCAGTTTTCCTTTTGGAATGCCTTTGAATTAAATAGAGAAAAGAGAAAATAGCAGGAAGGTCAGATGATTCTTTTACGTATTTTTAAGTTTGTTTGCTAGTGGAATGTGGGGGAGGAAGTACTTGTATACCATCACTTAGCATTGTGTTAGCATCTATATTACGGAAACTAGCAGAGCAGTTTGCCTCTTAGTGCAATGCAAATGAGCACTTGCAGGAGTACTAAGGGTTGATATCCTCACCAGTGGCTTGTGGCATGCGCCTGGGGCAGTGGTTTGCAGTGTTGCATCAGGCTGTTGGCAGCAGGTGCTCTGAGCAGTGACACCTTGAAGTTAAGGAGAGGTTTGTTGTAGGCTTAAAAGATAGGGATTTCATCCAGGAGAGAGTATGTTCTGCCTTTGTTTTGTGTTTGCCAGCCATGCACACAGTAGGATTGGAAGTGGAGGATTTATGCTCCGTCCCCAGCACTGGTGCTTGCCCTACTGTCTTTGGAGGAGGTTCTGTCCAGAGAACAGATCAGAAGGCACTTCAGGATGAGAACTGGTTCCTGTGCTGTGACTAAAGCAGTCTGATTCCACAAAGTAGGTCATTTTTTCGAGGGACTTTCTTTTGTACTTTTGGTTCCTAAGGACAGGGGTTCCTTCCCACCTTATGTAGAAAAGCTCATCCTGTTGTTTGCTTCTCTTCCTTAGCAACTGTGGCACATGCCTATTCACCAGCCCTGTCCCACCAGAGCAAGCCCTGCTCCTTCTCCTCCTCCCCATTTTCTTGCTTAGCTTGTACTGAACTTCTTTGTAATAGATATTTTTGCAATGTTGCTCATCCATGTCATATTTTAAGTAAGTAATTTCAAAAAAAAAAAAAGTTATCTTTGTGGTATTATGCAGTCAAATGTGAATTAGCATTTAATTTTTATTATTAGCTTTCACTCTTTTAGTGGTATAATCATTATGCAAAGCATGTAGCAGGCAAATGAAATCTTCAGAAGCATACTTGGTGCTGGGATAAAACATCACCACTTCCTGAAATTTCAGTAGGAATCCCACAGGGATTTGGCTTTGCTTAGTGAGCAAACTGAAAGCTGTCTGTTGGAACATCTGTCCTGCCTCCTGTTATTGCGTGGAAGACTTGAGACACTGAAGCCCAGTTCATCCCGTTCTACAGAGTGGCGAAAGGCTGTTGGTAGATGTTTCAAAGACAGATGCTCTTATGCCACAGGCACTCTTCTAGTGGCCAGCAAACTGGGTAGAAACAAAATGAACATTGTATCCTACATCTAGCAAGCTTTTTGATTGTCCTTACGGGTATCCTTTTGCTTAGGAATACTTCTTGAATCAAGGGCGTCCCTAGCATATCTGCAGAATGTGGTTAGCTGATACTTATTAGGAATGGCTGAGGGAGAGAGCAGTCTGTTAGTAAACATTCCTTTAAGTCTGCCTTTAATCCTGGGGGGGGGGGGGGGGGTTAAGGAGGCTGAGGCTTGCTACTTGCTGAGAAGTGATTTATTTCAGTTGAGGAGGGGGAGAATCCTGCCTGACACTGTGTTTGCTCCTTGCCCCCTGCCCTCTGCAGGCAGCTGTGCTCCAGGGCTGTGGGGCTGCACCATGAGCTGCTTGCTGAGCTGCTGCTTGGATTGCCCTGCTGCCATGAGGAATACTTCTGTAGTAGAATCAGCATTTTCTGTGCTGATTCTTAGTGTTACAACCTTGCAGAGCTTCTGCTAAGCTGCTATCAGCCTCAGTGCTGAACTCTGGAAAAATATAGGCAGCAGTAGGGATGGAGTGTGTAGCATTAGGTGGCTTAGATAGCATTCACCCATGTCTGAGCTCTGCCCGTATCATTGCTTTTCACCTTTCTGTCTGTCTATCTTGTTCCTACCTTGAAAGCAGAGCACGAATGGGATGGAGCAGTGTTCCCTCCTGCCTGATTACGTGTGGCGTGCAAAATGATTGATCCAAGATTGGCAATTGACAAAGAAATGGTCTGCCTTGTTCTGGTGAAGTTACAGAGAAACTGTAACAAATGACATTTTGTGTAAGGAAAGCAAAACTTCAGCCACGTTCTTCACCTGTTTTGTATGTGAATGTTCATATATGGTTGTCCAGAACTCAGTGCAGCAATTGCTGTTCTAAATAATGAGTCCTTTGATGGACTCTAATTTGCTTTTTCTGTATCAATTGCTATTCTCTCTGTTCTCCATTCTTACCGTCCTAAGGTCCATTTGGAGGCTATCAAAGAACACTATTAAAAGCACTTTAAACACAGGATTAAGTGCAACTTGGAAGGAGGCTCAGTCATGTTGTTTGTGCCTTCTTATGCAAAGGCTTGTTTAGCTTTTCTTCTTTAATCTCTGAATTATGCTCTAGATATCTGCACAGCTCCAAGTTATAATAGGTAAGCAGAAAGTAGGCTTTTGTGGTGTGTGTCTTGGCTTTATAAAATCAGTTTGTTACTCCAGCAGTGCCTTTTGCTTGATGAGCCGCAAAGTCCAGGCTCTTTTTTCCATAATGTTACATTTCAGAAGTCTAGCGATGCTGTGGTTTCCCTGCTCTGCAGGCATGCAGCAGCAATTACATTTTCTCTGTGTGCTGACCCATAATGGGTACAGAGTCGTAGGTGAGATATTACGGCTGTGTCCTTCTGCAGCCTTGTAACTAAGGTGCATTGTTATAGCAATACCTTAAGTTGAAAATGAAGAAGGAAGAAAGGAAGCTTACGGATTTTTTTCCACTCTAAGTACCAGTTGTTTTGTAAGGCTGGTGATGTTGCATCATGTCTTCTCGTGCTGTGTTAGTTTATAGGCAATGAGTGTACGTGAGGGACTGTGTGAATGCTTTTTACTGAAACTGTTAGAGGGGTTTTTTTGGCCATCCTAAATTTTAGGTTGTCACAATCAAGATAAAACTTGTTCATTGTCAGGGCTAGGGTAATAAAGTGATAGTTTTCCATCTGAAGTTCAAGGCAGGTAAAAGCTTCTTGCAGCTGGGAGCTGGGATAAACTGAAGTAGAGGAATTGCTTGTCCTGAGTCGGACAGTATGTCAGTGCTGGAGGTCAGCACAGGTCTTGCTGCTCTTCATCTCTTATCCTGATCCCGCTGCCTGCTGCTAACAGGCGAAAGCTCTGCGGTTGGCTCCTGTGAGTTGCAGGTTAGGTTCTCCTTACTGGGAGCCTGTTTTGGAACCATCAGCTGGGAGCATGACTCATCCCTGCATGTAAACAGGTTTTTGTCTGTGCTCTGTTTGGTATAGATATCAGAGGCATAACATGCCCAGAAAGAGGAATGCCTTTTTTTGTCTTGTTCTGTTTGTCTTTTTTCTTTGGGTTAAATACACAAAAATAATGAATTACTTTCCTTTAAACTTTC